TGTGTGTATTTGCTAAAAAACAGTATCTCAAGGAAATGAACCTTGATGGAATGAAATTCTGGATGTTTATATAATGTTATACTCATCCATGTTTTTTTTTTTTTCCTCTCCTCAAGGAATGGACGACCCCTAATAAGATCTCATATATAAGTTTGAAATTGTCCCTTTCATGTACTAAATCTATGGCCCTGCTCAACCCTTATAGTTCATTATGAGAGTTACCAAGTTTCTGCTATATGCAAGATTAACCATTGGAAATAAAAAACAGATCTTATATGGACATAATTAAATTTTCTGCTAATATCTATTACTTGAGAAAGGTATTTTTATTAGATTTCCTCAGAAAATTAATTTGGAATATCTCTATGGTTTACTAATTTGCTCTTTCTTTTTTCTTTTTTTGTTTTTTTTTTTTGTTTGTTTGTTTGTTTTGAGACAGGGTATCACTATGTAATTGAGGCTGACCTGGAACTCACTATGACCAGACTGGTCTCGAACTCACAGCGATCCTCCTGCCTCAGCCTCCTGAGTGCTGGGATTACAGGCGTGCACCACCATGCCTGGATAATTTGCTTTTTCTTAACACATTTGAACTATTATTTTGTAATTATTTACTGCATTTTTTCAAATTCCCTAAAATATAAAAAATACGAAAACAGCAGTTAGATTTTGGTTACTGTTATAACCCTAGTAACCCAAAATGATGTCTGGTATATTGCTAGTTTTTAGCAGTTGTACAATATTGTAGTTCCCAGTCCATTCCCCACTCACTACTCTTGACTGTTCTTCAATTACAAGGTTTAAAGAAGCTCTACCTTAAATAAAAACTGTTAAAGTGATCCAAGTTACTCTTTCTAGCTTATGAAGATTACTTGAGGGTTACTAAGTCAAGGAAATTCTCCTTGTGTAAGAATACTTATATAAGAAACAACATGTTGAAAGCAAACTTCTAAGAAGGCAAAATATTAAGATGTTTAGGTCTTCTTACTGAAACTGGAAATAGGGAGACCAGTAGGCTACTGTAATAGTCTAACTATGACAGTAAGGGAATCATAACTAAAACTGAACAGGCAAGAGAGAGTAGGAGAGGATACCAGGAATAAGTAAATAAATACATTTAAAAAAACATACATAAGCAAACAAAGCCAGCCAGTGGAAGGAAGAGCTCCCAGGTATGATAGCCTTACAGTTACTATCAGAAGACTTCCAGAACCATAATCTTGCACAAAGTCTACCTCAAATCTACACACACACGCACAAAAACTTCTGTGAGAACATCTGTCCAGAAACTTTCTGTTCAACTTCTGAGGACTTGTGCCACAGTCAGCTTACTATAGCATTCTTTTTTCCCCACTGTATATATTTCTTGCTGTAATCACAACCTGGTTGTAAGGATCTGAAATATACTTTGTGAGATGTACTCAGCAGCTGAACTTCATGGCACCTCACTCACTTCCTTAATTTAAGTGGCACAGCATTTCTGCTTGTATTGTCCAAAGCAGATTGACGACCTGTGTTTTACCCAAAATACAGTCAATAATTTACTTGTAGTCTTTCCCTCTCTCTTCCTCTATTAAGCTAGTCACCATTCCGGAGACGGCGGGAAGGAGGTGCCAGGTGGATGGATTATTTTGTAACTTTATTACAATTATTAATATGTAACATTTTTAAAAAACGTAAACAATCCTTCTTTGTTTACTTTTCTATTTTAAGTATCTGTGAAAGCCAATCTTAAGATCTAGGAAAACATACAAACTTTAGCAGTGTACTTTAAAATGCGAAAACAATTAGGAAACAGGGAGTTGAAAAGTTGTGGTTTTTGATTTTGCATCCTTTTGATAGGTGCAGTTTTCCTAAGCAAACCATTAACCAAAAGCTTCTGGCTCAAGAGGTCTGTTCTAAATAATCAAAGAAACCACAACTAAACTGATGTTGATTTATACACTATAGGTTCAATCTTACTTCTCTAACCCTTCCAACGGGATATTTCCTAGCGTGGATATTTAACGTGTACGCACTCGAGGTCCAGAGGGTGGGAACTTGAATTTACTGATTTATTTCCCTCAAAACGCCAAGTAAGATGCTGAGCACCGCAAATTCATGACAAAGAAATCTATGTAGGGTTTCTAAGCGATAACTACACCGAATGTTGATCTAAACTAAACTAAGCCCCCTATTATGCACACCCCCTAATAAGCTTATACCCACGCACCAAAGGCCAAACCCAAAGACTCACCCGAACCCGGAAGAGTTCAGACTAGCACGCCGTGACGTCAAGTGCGCGCGAGCCTTTTAGCTCTGCGCATGCGTGCATTCGTGGAGGACAAATCGCGCGTTAGTTCCCAGGTTTAAGAAAACCTAGAATTTCAGCGAAGTACTGGTAGGAGTGATCTTATGGCCGCGGTGCCGCTCGGTTGAAGTTACGTCCACCCGGAATTTTAGCCGCTTCCCTTAACCCCTCCCTTCGTCATTTTCTCTCCTTTTGAGCCGGGAGTTCGAAAGCAGCGTTGCCGAAACCGGGGCGGGGTGTGAGGTTCTGGATGATTGATCGGAAGATCTTCAGGGCTGGGCTCTTTTACACGTTTCTTCGCCTGGGAAGCAAGTACCCAAATGCAATTTTTTCAAAGAACTGTTGACAAAAATAATAATGTTTAATAGCTTGGGTATTAGCACAGTTCCACGAACGAGTTATGCTATTTTCCGACAAGTTTAGTTTATAAGTTTAATTTACAGGGTATAATTTTGTGATACATTCAATGAACCATATTGTTAAATGGGAATCTTCCGCGAATTTCTGATGTCTTCATTTGATGTAAATGAAACCACCTCAGTGTGAAACTAATGTGATAAAGACATACACGAATATTCAAGAATTATAATATCTGTTTTAATTACACATTTCCAGGAAGAAATAGCTATTTGTAAAATACTTATTTTTTGTTCAACAGGAAGCATTCAGTGTCAGTCCATCTTCTCTAGCTCCTCCCCACCTCTGTATTATAAGCATGAGTAACAGCTAAGTCTGAGCTCAGGTGCTGTCCCTTTGAGGAAAACTGTGATAATGAAGGCTTAGGCCATCATCTTATTCCTCTTCTGGCCTCATCCAGTAAGGGTGTAATAGTGAAATATGAAATACTATATCAATAGAGAAATACTATTCTTCCACCCTAAGCAATACCCATCTTGTAGACTTTGGAACCTGGCCCTTTTAATCTCACCTCCATTAAAAGTAATATCTTCTTCCAACATATTTTAAACTTTCTCTTATCCATTCTTCCCTATTACGATTGTAATACATTCTTCTAAGTAGCCCAAGTTTATGAAGAGTAAAATTGTTTACTATTAAATCAGTGGATCCTGTGCAGTGTCTGATATGCTGTAGGTTCTAAACATTTCATGAAAAATACTCAGTAAAAAATGTTTTTGTCTTTTCGCTCATATAACTTCCACCCTTCCATCCCAACCACAGCCTCATCCCTTTACACTGAAACCTCGGCAAAACATTGAGGAACTCTGGAGCTAAGCCAAAAGAAGTTTTATACTCATCTTTTTGGAAAGCAGTTTCAGTTTGCTACTACATGGTCCTAGTTTTCGCCTTTTTCTCTATCAGTTTAATCTTCTAAGATTTTTATTCTCTTTCTCTACCTTTAGCCTGTATACCTCTGTAGCCCGTATGTCCACATTTTTTTTAGGATGGGATGGAAATACATAACAAAATTGTACACAACTGCTTTTTTTCTCTTTTGATTACAGTGTGAGTTCTGAGTTTCTCAAGGATACAAACAGCATATATTTAAGTAATTTTCATCACTCATATTAGCAATTACTTCCTAAAAATGAAAATTGAACAGGAATATACAGTACAGTTTAAGGTAATGAAAAGGGGGAAAAGGTAGATTGAATCAACTAGAAAAGGCACTGAAGACTAATACAAAACAATCTGTTACCGTTTTTCTGTACCTGAAGAAGCATAAAACAGCTGTTCCAAGATTAACAATATAGTGACAAGTTAAAACTTGTAAAGACATGAAAAAATTCTTATACAAAATCTATAGTTTAAAGATATTCCATTTTAAGAAAACTTAAAAGTGAGCGTCTCACTAATAAATAATGATGAAAGCAGAGTAGGTAATATGTAAGTGTAAATAAGGAATCATTGTACTTCTAAGTAGTATAAGAGAATTAATGTGCAAGTTTCTGATGCTTCTCAGCGTTTTCAAACTGTCCTTTACTACTTATTTTCTAATGTCTGAATGTTGACTTAAATTGCTTAGCAGTCCAACGCTTCTAATTTATTTGCAGTAACTTTGAGGTCATTATCCTATATTTGGCATCTGTATGTCTCGAAAGCTGTTGTTGTGATGCACCCCTGAATACAACTCAACAGTATCATCGTTTACTTATGAAATTTTTTAGCAAGGATAGGCTGTGTTAGTTGGAGCTCATTTCCTTGCTTTTGATAACATTTCTGCTCAATTCCACTGAACAACTAGATTGATTTATAAAATCATATTTCACTAAATCATCATGTTTTTACATTGTTATATAGGTGGACCAGTATATAATTCATACATAAATTTATATCAAATGTATATTTAAATTATAATTTTAAATGATAATGCATGCAGTCACTCAATGACTATGAGGAAGACAAAGATATTTTTAAAATGTAATATTGTAAACCACAAATTGAGAAAAATCAGATCGTATTTTAGTCTTTTTAAATTACCATGTATTTTGTTAGCTTCAATTCTCATTTTTAAAATTCTTTGCTAAGAAAAAATATATATTCCTGTTTTAGTTGGACATCAATTATTTTATAGTGTATTGATTCACATAAATAAATTATAAATATGTTCTTTGCCATGTTCAAAGACTAAGAAATGTATGACTTCCTAATAAAAAGTAAAATATTTTTATTTACACATAGCACTTTTTAAAGTGTAAAAAAAACTCTAAAGCGATTATGTAAATTCAACTCATTCAACAAATTTTCAGAGAATATTGATCACATACTTCAGATTGAGCAGAATTCTGGAGCAATAAATTAAGCATACCCAAGCCTGGTCCCTGCTTATCTGGAACTTGCAATGAAGACAGAATCTTTTTAAAAATTCCAAGAAATCAACACAAAATTTACATTGCAATTTTATGTGCAAGCAATAGTTTGTATTAACAACTATATAATGGAAAGAACTGATTTTATTACTCCATTATATAGGCTTCCTGAAGAATTAAGAATTAATCAAAAGTGATCATGTAGCAAAATATTAGAGGCAGATTGATACTTTAAATAATTTCAGTCCTATTGTAATATGCAGTTTCAAGCATAAATATACTTGAATCAATGCAATGTTAGTCTTTTTTTCCTATTAATATTCTCTGAACCCTTTGCTCAAATCAAACTCATCACTTCTTTTTCAATTTCTGACCTATTGACTGGCACATATATAGTCATCATACTAGCAATTCTATGAAGTAATGCTCAGATATTTAATATAAG